TGTTTATTTTTTAAAATTTAATTTTTTTAATTATAATTTTACAGTGTTGAGCATAATCTTGTATGTCTTTACAATTTAAAAACTCCTTGAAAAAGTTTTTTTTTGCAATAACGGACCCTATTTGCACAAATTCATAAAAGCGGACCCTGGTTGAAGGAATGTGAGTAATTTTTTCACAAATTTCACGAAAAACGGACCTTTCACAAAATGTCTGGACAGACCCCTGGTAATTCGAAGCTTCTTCCAAAATGCGAGAAATTCGCGAATTTTGAAATTGATTTATAGAATGCGCGAATTTCTCGCAGTAATAATTTTTTAATGCGAGAAAAGAACAAAATAGGCGAGATTCTCGCGCTGTAGTGAAAACACTGCTTGATAATACTATGAACGTTAAAATATAATCTCAAAAACGGGTTGAAAAAATTGTATTCTGATTTATTTATTACCCATTGGCAAAATGGGTCTTGTTTTGGATTTGATGGCGTTCGCGCACTTTTCCACTGTGTTCAAGAGTAATAGTAAACAGTGCGCATGCGTTGCTATGGCGACCGCTGCTGTATAATCTTTTTATTTTCACTTGCAGGCATATTTAATGTCTTTGCATCATAATAATTTTCGTATTTTTATATTTTTTTTATTATTAACGTATAATGACTGGCTTGACCGTGATTTCAATATAAATATGAATACTGAAGAAGGAAAAAGTACGTCTTGAAGCACGTACATAGGGCAGGATATGAAAACCAATCCTACGACAAACATGAATTGAGACAGTTTTTGCAATCCATGATGATTTGAAATGTTGTGACGTTTAACGGAGTCAATTCAGAAAGAAAAATCATCTGACCAATGCAGGGATCTGTTTAAAAGAAATTTGGGTCCATTAACGGACCCTTCACAAAATATTTTAACTTAAAAATGGACCCTTCACAAAATAATTTATCTTTTAATCGGATCCTTCACAAATTTGTTTATCTTCATTATTGTTTTGTTACTCGAATAAATCCTTACAAGGGAGGGGGGAAGACAGACGGATGTAAACAAACTAAGTTTTGTCTTCGGCAGACGCTTTTTCCTTTATTCGTCCGAAATGAATATTCTGCGTTCAGCAGTATAGGCTAAATACCAAATATTTATATGTTGCATCTCTAATTTAGTAGCAGCAATTGCTGTTTATTTTTTAAAAGTATTTTTTTTTAATTATATTTTTACAGTGTTGAGCATAATCTTGTATGTCTTTGCAATTTAAAAACTCCTTGAAAAAGTTTTTTGCAATAACAGGACCCTATTTGCACACATTCACAAAAGGAGGACCCTGTTTGAAAGAATGCGACTTGACGTTTATTTTATATTCACAAATTACGAGTCATTTTTTCAAAATTTTACAAAAACGGACCTTTCACAAAATGTCTGGACAGACCACTGCAATGTGATCGTAATTTGGCGATCACAACTTTTATTTTTTTTAAATCATTATAATTTATTTATTTTTTGCCGTACATAGCTTATTATAATGCGCCTAATATGACTGGGTGATGTATCGGAAAATATCGATGTTATGTAATCATCGCCGACTCGATGTTTGGATTGGCAATTTTTCAAAGCATCGAAAATTAAGATTTACCGATATATGTGGATGTTTCGCGATGTCTACACGCGCGATGATGAGCATTATTTTCGATATCCAGGGGTCTGTTTAGAAGAAATTTGGGTCCGTTAACGGACCCTTCACAAAATATCTTTTCATAAAAACGGACCCTTCACGAAATATTTTAACTTAAAAACGGAACCTTCACAAAATAATTTATCTTTTAGTCGGACCCTTCACAAATTTGTTTATCGTCATTATTGTTTTGTTTCTCGAATAAATCCTTACAAGGGAGGGGGGGGGGGAAGAAAGNCTAATTTAGTTGCTGCAATTGCTGTTTATTTTTTAAAATTTAATTTTTTTAATTATAATTTTACAGTGTTGAGCATAATCTTGTATGTCTTTACAATTTAAAAACTCTTTAAAAAAGTTTTCGTTGCAATAACGGACCCTATTCGCACAAATTCGCAAAAGCGGACCCTGGTTGAAAGAATATGACTTAACGCTTATTTTATATTCACAAATTACGAGTAATTTTTTCACAATTTTACAAAAACGGACCTATCACCAAATGTCTGGACAGACCCCTGATATCTTTCGACCATGAAATGGATGAACGCTAGCTCGAGCGATGGGCTTTTTTCTTCTTTTATTATTGATAGTAATGAACTAAATTTGAGATAGGAGGGGGTACATGGGAAGTTACGTGCATTATAGCTCCAGCTGTTCATAAGTTTTTTTTTTAAATTTATTTTCAATGTATCATTTTTTTATTTTCAATGTATCGTTTATTACAAGAATATAATTGTCGCAATTTATCAATCAAAAAGTGCAAGAGTTCGAAATTACACAATACCAAATTCAAAATATTAGTGTAATGAAATATCGCGATACATCGAAATATCGTGATGTTAGAGTGAGTGACGATACATCGCGATGCTGAAATCTTAACATCACCAGTCTTAGTGCCTAACATATAAAAAAAAATCTCAGTTTCGAATTTTTGTTGTTGCTGATGTTGATTTTTCATTTGCACGGTTGTATTAATGTTATAATTTAAAAGCTTTCTAGTTCTATTTTGTTAAAATAATTTTTCACTACACTGATAAAAGACGATTTCATACAGTTATCATAACTTTTTCTTACTTAACAAGAGTTATTCCAGATTGAAGTTGTGAAAAATCTAGTTATAATTTTTTGAATGTGTGAAAATAAGGTTCTGTTTTTTGTGAGAAAAAAAAACCTGTCTTTCAGTGAGTTGCAGTTATAAAATTATGAGTTAAAGACGTCATCAACAGCGTTTTTTAAACAAAAAAGAAAACAATTTTGTTAAAGGATTTTTAAACACCAGTTGTTTCAATGTAATATTTTGTGAAAGGTACGTTTTTGTTGGAAAATATTTTGTGATAACCATTTAAACGATAAACTTTTTTTTGAAGGGTCGGTTAAAGAATCCGAATTTCTAATAAATTAACCCCTGTTATTACAAATTATGAAAGATAAATCTTTTTTTTTTCTTCGTTGCATACAGAAAATTAATATAAGAAGTTAAAAAATTGTTATTGCGATCTATTTAAATAGACATATTGGGTATTGACTAACCTTTGATTACATTGTTAAAATTTTCATTCTAAAATTATGGTAAAATGACTGACAGCTGTCTGTCCGTCCAATTAACCGTAAAGTTTATGGTCAAGAACATTTTTTCCCCCTTATGGATTTGAAATCATTTACAAAAAGTATGGTTATAAAACCACGAATAAAAAACTATCCGGTTTTTTTAGCCATTTACAGCTAGCATTTTTCAAAAACGTAAAAAAAATAAATAAATATATATTTAACATAGGAGATCGGTGTTAGGTGAAAGCAGTTAATAAACCCTTTTTCTTAAACTTAGCAGTTTGACTATAATTTTATTCATGGTTGTTTGACTGTTTTGATTAAATATGGTAAAAATAACCATTCAATAAATTGTTATTTGAAAAAAAATTTCTGAGAAATTTCTAACAGTGCAGCTGATTCACTTACACAAACTCGCTGTTAATCGGTTCCACATTTTCTTACTCTGAATTACCTATTCGTTGACATGCGTGTTCACTATCTCTTGCCACAACAGTTTTCTAAATCCATGACATTTGTATTTTGAGTGCAAATTAGTCGTCCAATGACGTGGCTATTATAAACATTGCATATTTCCTAGCTTTTTATAATTCCCTTAATTTCAAAAACTTCTAACCATTTTTAATCATTTCTAGTCTTTTTCTGAATAAATGAAACTGATTTTTAATGTAAGTATTTGACGCAACGATTTTATTCACAGATAAAAAAAACTCACGTACTCCGCTTACTGGAATTTAAGATGGTTATTATAAAACACTATATAAATAACGCGTAGCATTTTTAGAAAGTGCTTAAAGGTGCTTATTTTTGATTTACGTTTTTTAAAAGCCCTTAAGGGTGTTTTTTTTATATGGTGTTTGCAAAAAGTACTTAATTTTTTATCTTTTTAGAAGAGATTTTTTTCTTATCGATCTGCCGTATCGATTGTCGTTCTAAATTACAAAAAATCATGATTTTTATAATTTTCTTTGGAATATTTATCAGAAACTAGTTATTTTATCATGATTATGAAAATGCATTTGAAAATGATTTTGAATTTTATTGATTTTATGTTTATAATTTAAGAACTTCAAAACGATAGAAAAAATAATTTTTGTTGCTGCACAGAGCCTAGTTATGAGGTTTTTTTTTTTTTTTTGAAAGGGATTAAAAATATTTTTTGAGTGCTTAAAAAGTACTTAAAAGCTGCTTATTTTTTGATGAAAAATCTGACTACGCACTCTGATATATATATATTGTAAAAACTTACATATAAAATTATTTTCAGGAGCTGCTATTGGAGGTGTCTGCCTGGTTGCTTTGCCTGCAGCAGTTCTCTCTTTCTTAGGATTTACAGGTGCCGGAGTAGCGGCAGGATCTGTTGCAGCCGGGATTCAAAGTGGTATAGGGAATGTAGTAGCTGGCAGCGTATTTGCATTCCTGCAAAGCATTGGTGCTACAGGTGTCTCTGCTGCGGCTTCTACTGGCTTTGCTGCAATTGGATCAGCATTGGGAGCTGTGATTGGATTTCTCATCTAATGCAAAATGTGTTCCTAATGATTTAATCTTAAAAATGCAATAAATTTTTGCATCTCATTATGTGTGTGAGAGTATTTAACTGGGTAATTTTAAGTAAAAGCATACAGGCATATAAATACCCAACCATGTTACACAACAAAAGTTTTATATAGTTCAAACTCTTCTTATAATTGATGAAGCTTATATTTTCTTGATACGCCTTTGTAATTTAATTTTTATTTTAGATTATTATTTGAGAATTAAAAAAAAATTACTTTTGAAGAACATCTGTTTTAAGAATATGAAAAGAGATTATTTAGTTAGATCTTTGAATATTGTGGCTGGTTTTGCAGCATATAGAGCAATGATCACTAAGGAAAGCCTTCTTTGTTAAAATGAACCGCTAGACGAATTCTTTCATGTTGATTTCTTTTTTAAATAAAAGAAAAAAGAAACGAACCTTCTTTCCTTCTGATGGCAGTGAATAGTCGCCAACAACCATTCAATGGCAGGGCTCAATTTTCTCTCATTGTTCATCCTCAAGTACAGCTAAGCAATACGCGTTAAAGAAGTTATAATTTGATAAACAAAATAAAAATATCTTGTGTCTAAAAGTATCACATGTGCAAACTAAAACAAACGCTGGAGAAAAACGTATTATCTCTCCTTATATAAAAAAAAAAATCACTTTCAAAACCAATCAAATGATTGCCATAGTAACGGTTGCCACAGATACACTTTCTTCAAGTAATGGAGTTTAAAATTGAATAATTTTGTGAGCGATTTGTTTTTTACCGATATGGTTGCAGGGTTACATTTAAAGAGAGCTTAAATTTGCCATGCTACTTAACTAGCAACAAATGTAATTATTATAATTTTTGTAGATAAGTCAAGGTTTTTCCTTTGACCATTTTTTCGAAATAAATACTTTTGTATTTTGTCATATCTTCAAGATTCTCTCTCTGTTTTTGTTTAATGTTTGGATTTATTATTTTACTAGCTGAATATGCGTTCTTCGTATGGGGTGAAAGTAAGAAAAAAAAATTAGTTTTGTGCAATACTAAAAACATTTTACAGAATACTGAAAGACGTATACCAACTCAATAAAATTAAAACGATTCCAATTTTTTTTATTTTATATAATCTTATATTTTATCATTCTCGGTGGCTTTAGGTTATTGGATTTAACATACTGTTTTTACTAGTTTATTCCATTAGAATAAAGATAAACTGTATTCAATATCATTTGGTGCGATGATGTTGCTAGTGGACAACTCGGGGGGCGACAATCAAAATATTCCAGTATCGAACAATTTTCTGTAGTACTTATTCTTTCAGGGGCTGTAAAAAAATTTCTTACCATAATATCTACATCGAAACTGTACAGTAACGGTTACGAAATAAACTAATATCATTGTATTAAATAAATAATCCGAAGAAACTGAAGCGATAAGGATATTACTTGATTAAAAACTTCATACGATTCAAAAATAATATATAAATAAAAGAAATAACAGTTGACAGGTTTCAAGCATTTAGAAACAGGCACCCATTTTCAAGACTTGCTGGACGTGAATAAGATGAAACATACCGTCAGACTTTGTGCAAAGAGGGGTGACTTAGTGCAAACTGTCATCTTTTTCAATTACTAGCATTATAATAATTAAAAGCAAAAAATTATGCATGATTTGTTATCTCAATTGCTAAGACTTCTAAAGTATAACCTACCTTCCTGGTCAGGATTACGAGAACTTCTTCAACCGAGCAGACTTTCCAGCCTCCGATTTTGTGACGTTAATAAAATTTGAAACTGTTTGTCACTTGTGCTCACAATTTTCGAAGAACGATGATATTTACATTGCCAGTTCTTGGTAAACCATTAGTTCGTTATGTTGACAACTCAAATCAGTTGATATAAAGCTTAAAAAAATACCCCTAGATGGCACGACGCAAAAATTGAAAAAATGACAGTTTGCACAAAGTCACCCCATCTGACGGTAAGTAGCCCTTGTCATCTGGGTTGGGTTCAAAATTGCAAGGCTATAGAGTTGAACATTGATAGTCGTAAATTTAGAATCGAGTCGGCTTTTCGACGCCGATTATAAAATAAAATATAAAACAATGGGCGGTTTAGAGAAAGCTTTATTTTTATGCTGTTTTGTTTGAATGCTTTAATTTTATAATTGATATAAGTTAATGCTGTTAAATTCACTTTTTCAAATTAACTTAGCCCAGATTTCTAAACAAGGTTCTCGCAAGGTCAGGGAATTTGAAATGAGGATAAAAAGTCAGGGAATGCAATTTAAAATTTTGCAACAAACTTTAAATGACCAACTTCAATACTAAAGGAAACAATAAATATAATTTATTTTTAGAAATATTGAAATTTGTATGCATAATTCGTTAAAAGAAGACCCTTAACTTTAAAAAAATTTCTTGTTTCTAATTTTTTCGCATCTATAAACATATTTGAAGTTTATATTGAGTTTGTAAAAATAAGCATAAAAAGAATAATGAATAATAATTTCGGTATAAATTAAGTTTGGTTTCAGTCTCAAAAAAGTTATAAAATGGGTGATTATATGACAGATGTGACTTAAAATAATTTCCATTGGAAATTTAAATTTTTTCAACAATGCTTAGATTTGTAATTTCTATACCCATTGTGTGTTATAAAATAAACATGTTAAACCTTTGCTTCACAAAATTTTGTTCTTTAAAAAATGTAACGTTAGTCATATTTTGATGTAAGTAAGCTTTGTTATTAATGAATTAAAAAATGCTATCAGGAAATTTGTTGAATTTTTTTTAAAATTAATTTTAAATAGTTTAAATTACTCTGACATTTTTTTTGCTGTTAACGGATTAATTTTATAGTTATTTCTTCCTTGAATTTTATTTTAGACAATATGTACCATTTACAAAAAATATGTACCATTTGTTGTAAATTTGAAGTAGTTATTTTGAATCAGAACATATTTTGTGTTTGATTATAAATTTAATAATACTACGACAAAAACTCAAATATGCTATTTTATTTACGATTAAATTATACATTAAAAATTAGAAAGATACATCTTTCCTAAAAGTGTTAAAAAAAAAAAATGAAACAGATTTTTAAAGAATGGCAGACGAAAATACAAAACACAAATCTGTCTGGAAAAGAACGAAGTGCATGACGTAATGCGTGACGTTCAGACACCTCTAGGCCAATAAGGTTGACGCTCTTCTAAAGCTTCAAGTGAAAGGGGGTTTCCCTATTTTAAAAATCTAGACGACACGACGCGCTCATCCAAACATTTAGTTAGATCTTATTGGCAGTGTAAGTACAGATTTTTCTTATCTTTTCAATATTTATTTTCCTGGAATAAACCAATATTTATAATGAGAAAGGAGAATATTTAAAATTTACTTTTTTCGGAGATCTCCAAATCGGGGTCTATAAACTTCGATGTTTTTTACACTAATAAGTAAGCTACGGCTAAATAAATTTGGTTAATCAGATGCAGGATTTATTTTTTGTTACTCTAGAAATGGAATGCATAAAATGAATATTGTACTCTTTACAAAGCATTATTTTAAGCAATATTATTCGTGATCGGGAAGTTTTTAAATGAAATAGTATTAATTCCATCGTGAAGTAAAATGATTAACATTATAATTGAATCAGAATTAAATTCATAATAATGATATTAAGTTGTGTAATAAGCTATTACTGTAAGTTAAGTGGTATAACGATAGGAACGGTTTTAAATCAAATAAAAAACTTTCAACATAGTTGCTTCAAATTCTTTTTATTGCATGTTTTTGCAATTTTTTTTAATTTTAAAGTTATGTTTCCGCATTATTTAGATTTATATCATTAATTAGCATTACATAATTCGTAGCATTGGTAACAGTTAACTTTATGAAATAAACATTTCTTACCTTTTTTTTTGTCTATTGATTCAATACAAATATTATTATGAAATATTTTAGACAAAACGCTTTTTCTATAAAAACACATATGAAAATAATGGATTTAAATTAAATGATTTTTTTTTAATTCATTGATTTAAGTCAAATGATATTTTTTAAAAAAATCATCAATTTAAAAATCTACAGAGTATTTTACGAGTTTGTTTGATTTTATTGATATTTTTAAATTTATAATTTAGCATAGACGTATGGTTATGTTAATAATTTACATTAGTACTTGTTGCAGGACTTTTAAAATGACATTTTGAAATTATTTTACAAAAGAGTAAATGAAAAATTTAAAAAAATAAAGAGAAGTTCTAATGTAGTTTTTTCATTATTTATAATATCTTTAAAAAATGGCTATTTAAAAGGTTTTTAAAAAAAAACATGAATGTAATGAACCATGAAGCACAATATTCAAAACTACAGTTATTTTAATATTTTTGAATCTGAAAGTAACATAAAAAGATTTGTTTAATTATAAATTCAGAATGTCTTTTCAAACAGTGAATTGTTATTTATTTTTTAATCATTGGTTAAATTGTGTTATTCAGTATGCATATATTTGTCAACCTGCAGTTCAGGCAAAGTATAAGGCAACTCAATTTACTTTGTCTCTTCAAAAAATTTTTTTTAATTTCAAAATAGAAAGAAAAAAATGAAAATTATTTTGTTATTTATTTAAACAGATTTTCAGACATAATACATTTTTTTTCTCCATTCTTTTAAATAATCATTTTTCTTGTATTACAACAAAAATTTTTTTATGTGGCAATATCTTTTGAAATGTATTTTTTTGATAATATTTCAATTACAATAATAATATTTAACTAATTATAAGCAGAATTTCTTATGGTACTTTAAAAAAAAATCGGATTAAGGTTTAAAAAAACAATTATTTAGTTGAAATTAAATCGAAATTATTTTCTAAACTATATTAGAAAAATAACGAACCTTGGAGCAAAACCATTATGCATTTTTACATTGAAAATAAAAAAAGAAATTTAAAAATAAACTTCTAAGTGTAAAATTCAGAGGAAAATTTTTTTTCCCTCACTTTTTTTCTTATTTTGTACAATAATAATATTCACAAATTTTAATGACTATCTGAACATGGTTTTGATGACGTTCTATTTTATTAAAAACAATTATTAGGATCTTACACGTTAAACTATTTTAAACTATTACACATTAAATTATTTTATAATGATACTAGATGAATGCCCGATCTTCGCATGGGGTGTAAAAACAACTACATTTTAATAAATTAAAATCATCACTTAACAACACATTGAAATAATGAACAAAACATCTAGATGAAAAGTGATTTACTTTATTTAGCAAGATCTGACTTGCTCGAAGATATATTAAATTTTCAACATCAAGGCAATTTTCTCCTGTTCTTATACTTGCGAGAGGGCATGCATGTTAATAGGCACGTTCCAAATTTACTGATAAAAATACTTTGTACCTATATTAGTATGTTCGGTATCTAAGACAGAGTTCGTAATTCTGATTTTCCTGGTAAAAAAAAAAGGTCCCGCAGTTAAGAGATCACCGAAGTCAAGCATCACTGGCTGCGGTCAGTGTGCGGATGGGTCACCCCTTAGATCAGTCTGTGTAGGGACCGAGGGTGTGCGGTATGGGTCCTCGTTAAACTGTTCTATCATAAAGAGCTCGACTTCGTGTGCAGGTCGTCGGGCTACCAAAGCAGGGGAGCCATCCCCTTTGCAGAGGATTAAAATTGTGATGGTATGTCTTCGGATCATCCTCAGAAATGTTTCCCATACCGTCGCCAATAGCCCATTATGCAGCTCTAGTGTGACGTAAATGAACTACAACAACAACCTGGTAGAAAAAATGCTCTGTATTGAATTAAGCTGCATAGAAAATACAGCCTTTTTTTAAAATAAAAACACAATTATTTGACAACCATACATAAACTTAGCAAAATTAAATTAAAATACCCGTAACGGATTAGTATGAACCTTAAATTCAAAACAAAAGCTATTCTCATCAAAAATCAACAATTCTATGACAAATAGTCTCGTTTTTTTTTTTTTTTTTTTAAATTTATCTTCTTATATGTTTTTTTTTATTCATGCTTTTGTTAGTCAGATATTTCTAGACTTTATAGCCCTTATTTTTAAGCGTTTTATCGGAATGTTCCTGATTTTTTAAACTTTTTTAAATTTATTTTTGTTCAGAACCACCTACAATTTGGTTGAACGCGCGATATTAAAGGAATCATCTGAATTTTATTTTTTTAAATTACTTTCACTAGAAAAGAAAAACTCGACTTCTCAATGTGTAAACTATTAGCTCAAAAAGTGAAACCACATCTTCCTCTTTTCTTCAGTAGAATGAATTATTGTTGAANCATTGCGAGCTGAGTGCGGAATTCGTAATAACCAGCCATCTCTGGGATTCGAACCCGGTTGACCTCATTGGAAGGCGAATTCTCTATTCCCTGAGCCATCACGGCTCAGTTACAGGCACTTCATCCTGTACAGCAGCTAAGGTAACTTACTCCTAGGTTACTGAAGCGAGATCCGTTAAAGTGGACCCAGGCCTAAAAAACCCGCTTTACTAAATAAATAGATTTTACTTCAAAAAAAAATTTTTTTTTTAATTATTGTCATTTAATCAAAAAACTTCCTAGAAATTGAAGACAAATGAATTTGATAGTTTAGCTTTAATTATTATATAATTTAGGAAAATCAACTTGATATAAAAATCGAAATGCAATCAAATTGTTTTTAATGTGCCTTTAATTAGTTTGAAATTATTTATGTAGAATGAAAAAGTTATTAAATTTCCTTAAGAAATTGAAGACAAATGAATTTGATAATTTAGCTTTATGTATTATTTAATTTAGGAAAAGTAACTTGATATAAAAATCGAAATGTAATCAAATTGATTTTAATGTGTCTTTAATTAGTTTGAAATTATTTATGTAGAATGAAAACGTTATTATATTTCCTTAAGAAAAATTGTAACATAATTTATAAATTGAGTTTATACATAATTATAAAACATTAAAACTGTTTCTTTTATATATATTTTAAGAAGCTAATTAGTATTCAGTTTTTGTTTTGATTCCATTAAAATTTAATTAAGGTTTAAACATTTTTTCCTGAGTTCTACATTTAAATGCAGAAATTGAGATTCACATTTTTTTTTCATATTTCAAAGCATAAAAAGGAAGTTTTGGGGAAAAAACATAGTTTATTCAACCAATAAATTATTTATTTATTCATTTTTTAAAGATATTTGGTCCCGCAGTGGACTGATCGTTAAGACACGGTTCCCAGCAGATCACCGAAGTCAAGCATCACTGGCTGCGGGTGGGTGACCACTTGGACTAGGGACCGAGGGTGTGCGGTATTGGTCCTCGTTAAACTGTTCTACCGTAAAGTGCTCGACTTCGCGTGCAGGTCGTCGGGCTACCGAAGCGGGGGTGCCATCCCCTCCGCAGAGGATCAAAATTGTGATGGCATGTCTTCGGATCATCCTCAGGGATGTTTCCCAAACGGCAAAAGCCCATTGTGCAGCGTAAATTAACTACAACAACAACAACAATTAAAGATATTCGCTTGGAATTAAAGGCTCTGAATCAAAGGCTTAAAACTAAAAGTGAATTTTTTGTTATTTATAAAAGGGAAGTACTATTCCTGTAATATACTACACTATTGCGTAACCTTTTACGATAAACAAATTATGAACGTTATGTAACTTAATTTGTAGTTATTATAATATTATACTAATTATTGAAATTATTATATCAGTAAACAAGTTATATTTACTTATAAGCTTCATATAAAACAGTATCAGTCTAAAGTTTCAATTTATACGAGTATAATGAATAAAAGAATTTTATTAAAAGTTAACTTTGCATAACATAACTAGCAAACTGTTAGACGTACTATAATCTGATGTCATAATTTATCTTCTTTCTCTCTCATATATGTATAGAGAGAGAGAGAGAGCATATATATTATTTTATTATCTTCGTTGAACAGGCGACCCATTTTTTTTTTGTTTGGGTTTATGACTAATGTTTATTTCCGTAGCTTTGTAATTTTGAACCCAATCCAGAAGACAAGGGAACTCCTGGATTAAGTACTGGGAGAAATTTGTCTTTGTGAAGGACTTTTTGATAAAACTGAACTGCATTTGCTTTATATCGGAAGGAAAATAACGAAAACCTCACACTGTTAGCCTGACGGCTAGGGGACTCTAACCCAAGATCCGTTTACCACTGAATGGATTTTACATCAGCACTGTGGTTGGTGCAAGCCGGATGCGGATTAGATCAAATTATTAGACGCACTGTAGTGTTTCAATAATGACACAATTTGCACGAGTTTATAGACAACAATTTTATATTTAAACAGACACGTAATGGGTTTTTATTCAGGAGATTTTTTATAGACTTCCTATTTGTATTTATTTTTAACGTATTGTATTACAATGTTAACCCACGGACGTGTTATACACGGACGTAAATGTGTCATCACTATAGGGATTAAATAGTTATTTTTTTATATAAGTTTTACTAAGCCCAGAGTGTAAGGTGACAACAGACGCATGTCCACCCAGCATTAAAACGGTCGACTACCGACAATTTTACGGAGCTGGGTCGTCTGGTATGTTTTTGCTGGGTTACATCAACCAAGGACATCAACGATGTCTCCTAATTAGTGAAAGAACGCGCAAAGGATGCTGGGAAAGAAGGCAGCGCGACAAGCTTCGGTTAGGTAAGACAAGTTCGAATGCCATAGCTCATTTTTCTGTGTTTACTTTGTATCAGTCAAGTTTAGACGTGGATTTACATTTCTGTTCATTTACGATATCGTCATTAAAAAGGTATAACTTTTATCTTATATTTCACTTTTATCACATTATAGGTATGATAAATGCATTCACCAAAAGTATTTCAATTTTAAGTTTATCAAACTTTTTGATACGATGCCAGTGAAAAGATGTCTGTATTCCTTCGAAAAGGGAAAAAAAAGAAACATTTTTTAAAAAAAATATAAATCCGTACTTTTAATTCATTTGCATGAAAATGCAAGCGGAAATTATTCTAACAGTGAAAAATTGACTAGTTATTTCGAACAAAAATATTCTTAATTCTTAATGGTCTAAAATTTAGTATTAAAACCAAGTATTTTCTTGATAACAAATAGTGTTCTTAGTGATGAATATTGCCTGAGACTTTTTAAAACTTTTTTTAGTATTTCTTTTAAATAAAGGGTGTCGCTTATAATGGAGTACTAAGTACTGTTTCCAGATAGATACTAAATAAGTTTTAGGAATTTCCACTTGATAACAGTACAGTACTCAAAAATATCTTATTGTCTACCTGGAGATCGTAATGTTTTCCGCCAAAAATATGTTTAACAGTATAAAAATGTGGCTTATCATTACATTGCCTGATGCCCTTCATATATATGCTTTCTTGTTGATTTGAACTGCATTAATACATTACATTAATTTTTATTTAAGTCTCTAATTGAAGAGAACAGCTATGTTTATTAAAAAAAATTTAAATTGTTTTATAAAACAGTTGTTTTTATTTATATTATGCCACAACTATTGGAATATAGTTAGAAAAATTTAAAATTAAAAAAAAACTTTAAAAATTGGCCAGTTTCACTTTATAGTTAATGACACCTTAAAAATAAAGCATGGTGTTTTGAATTAAATTGTAATTAAATTTTGGTAAAAAGGTTTTTAAAGAATATTGCAAATAATAATTTAAACTTTTCTTGGATTGGTGGAGGATTTTAATTTATTTTCCTTTTGGGAAATTCCAAATCGGTGTATTCGCATGAAGTAACAGCTTTTAAAGAACAAGACAACAACAACAGATGCAACAACTGTATTTTTAAACACTGCTGGAAATTAAACTAATCATAACTTTATCAAAATTCTATATTTTCCTCAATATATTTTGTAAGAGTTACACAAAAACTTCTTCTACGCCGTGTTTCCTTTCAGTTTTCATTTGTGCCAACGTATTTAATATGGTTTATTTTAAATGAAAAAAAAAGTTCGTCAATGTTTCGTATAATAGTAAAAACATGGCACAGCGCTTGTTAAAATAAACAGATTGAATTGAACGAATTGCATTATTAATATATTTTTATAATTGTACATAATTTCCTTTTTTAACGAACGTTATCACGCAAGCGCTAACGCTATTTTTGCTTTGGATGGCGCAATCTTGTTACAGTAGTAATTGTTCTTATGTAAATATAGGGCCCGCTTTGGGAAAGATATGAGGATGATAATCTTTTATTTCTGACTAGACCGGCTTTTAAAAAATTGAAACTCTTCCTTTTATTTTAATAGATAAATTTATAATAATAAAAGTAGTGTTAGTGTATGCGCGTGTTCCTCTAATAATTCATTTAACCATTTGTGGTAGAACCTTGAAATTTGAATTGTATTTAAAAGGGAGAGTTTTAAAGTCAGGATCTGATTATAGCATAGGTGAAAAGAAGCACTTGCAAATATTTGGGGGGGGGGTCTAAACTATAGAGCCTCCCAAATATTAATATTTAAAATATTTCAATTTAAGGTGTTTTATGATTTCAGATTTGCACTTTATATAAGATTTTGCCTTGTTATTTCATTAAATTTTTACAATATTCTAATTTTTTTAGTAATTAAAGTAGCAACAATGATTTATTCAATGAAAAAATTAAGGTTGCATTTACATGATGCTCTAAATGCATTCCGTAATATGCACGTCACTTGAATAAATGTAATTAACCAATCAGATTCTCAATCGTTGGTGGCTTATTGATGTAACAATTGTTGTTTTAATCAATATCAAATATTCTAGTATAGGTGCTTGATATTGAAACTGTGGTAAAAAGTTTTTTTTATGAACTCCCTTCAAAGGCTAAGTATTGGAGAAACTTGTTTGATTATGGTAAATTTTGTATATACAATAGTAATAGATAAATTATATAAATACAATAGAATCATGAAAAATAACGTGGTTTGCTGAATATAATATGTAACGCTATTGGCAAATGCAAGAAATAATAATGAATAAAAAAAAGAAAGAAATTATTTAAAAAATTTTCAGTTGCACCGGCCTATGACTTTCAGTTTTATACATAATTTCGTAGTGTTGATTAATTTTAGTTGAGTTGATTAATTACTTATCTCCACTTACGAAGAACTGATATTCAGCTCGTTATGAAATAAAACGTATTTTATCTATGCAAAACCGATTGATATTAATAATATTGCATTTTGTTGAAACTACTACGAATAATTATCTCTCTTGTTATCTTCAATTATCTCTAGCTTGTTATTTATTTCATGTTTAAATTTCAATCACCTGTTTACATCCTTGTTTTTTTCTCGTCAAAATAGGTATTGTTACTTCATCTTTGGGACAATAATGGTTGCAACAAGCACTTTAAGTAAGTAAATTCATAAAATTAATCTTTCCCTTTTTTATATCACTTTTTTTCTTCCTTTTAATAGGAAAAGTAAAAGTGAATAATCGTATAGCAATGTTAAAGACATAAATAGTAATTTTTACGAGCCTTTTTAGCACTGAATCTGTCAATTAAAACTTTGACCGCTTTCTGATTATCTAGGGCTACTAAATTCTAATTGGTAGCCCCATTTAAAATTAAGTGCTGTATAAAATCATACATTTCCTTGTTTTCTGGTCGTTAGAAGTAATATTTGTATTCATTTTTTCGAGAATGGAAATTTACCGTTAATCAAGATTATTACCTTTTTTGATGAACTAGAATTCTTAAATCGTCACTGGATATCTGGTTTTTATGACAATACATGTTTGATTTATCATTTGCTTACCACTACCAGTTCAATGTATTGCCAAAAGCAACTTATCGTCAATCAAACTTTTGATTATTTTCAGAGTAGCTAAAACAATCCAGCTCAGCTCTGTGCTGAATGAAATTATGAATTTATCATCATCATACCATATTAGTTATCGCCATTATATTGCTAAAACAGATTTCACTGTCAATAAAAATTCCAAAATCTCGTTCCCATTAACTAAAGTGTTGAGATTTCTATTGGATCTTTGTGCTTGATAGAATCTTTTTCCAAGTTTTAATCGTCTCCAAACCAGTGCAAATTTTATGTGCAATTTAGAACATTTTATTTGCCCCTTTATTTTCAAAATTTAGTTATTTTACTTTGTAAAATTTAGTTTCATTTCAGATTAGTTATAGAAACCAAATCTACGTGTTTACCCACAATACAAATTAAAAGTATTTTCTAAACGTCGCAAACAAAATTTAGCTCCACTTTAAATTTTTACAAATCAACAGATACAAAACTAAAAAGAAAAAGAAAACTGCGTTTATGTTAAAAGAAGAAAATAATGCAATTTTTGTCAGATCTAAAAACGTAAAATGTTGGGCGCATCATAAACTTCTATCATAACTAAACATCCACCAGCAACTTTCGAAATTTATACAGGATTCGTAATTCGTAAGCAGTTTTCTAGATAAAAAATTTTTTTCCGATTTTTAATTTTTTATTCGTATACACCTGGTTTTCGTGTGTGCTCAGAATATCCAATTTTCAACGAATACAAGTTATAGATTTTAACAAGTTATACAAGTAACAGATTTTAAAATAATTGATTCGAATACTCGAAAGAGATTTGAATCCAACGTCTTTTGTTTTAATTGCACATGCTTGTAAAAATTTCCAAAACTAGATAGTTGATGTGTAGGGATTTTCTTGTTTCAGGAAACGTTCAGACATATTTCCTAACCCACGGGGCTCAACTATGGTGAAATCGTGTCCATGGCCTGAACCCCCCTGTAGAAATTAACCGCTTTTAAATTCAAAAGTTATATAAAATGTAAGCAAAACTTGTATAAGTTTTTGAAATATAGCCTTTTTTTCAATAAAAAAATTCTAAATAATGAATCTTTTATAGAATACTAATAGTAATACTATTTGCAACTAGGAAAAAATAAGGAATTCTTATTCTCATATTCATATAAATATAGCGTTTTTTGTTCTTTAAAGTATGTAATTCAAAATAAGTCAAACTAATTATGTTTTAGAAAACTTAGAAGTATGCGTATCAAAAAATAAATATTAGTAACAGACATTTAGTGTCTTTTAAAAAACTGTGCCCAAGGCCCTGGGCACCTTCGTGTGACAATAAGGCCCTGTTTTCCAGCAGGTTTCATTATTTATAACTGTTTAGGGAATTCTATCATTTTATGAAAAATAAACTTACTTTTACAATTTTACACTATCAAATCTTCATGGTGATGACTTCAGGAGAATCTTGAATCAGGACGTGATGAATTCATCTTGTAAGGGTGGATTGATTCACCTCTTTCGTCTGATTTTGCGAATGTTCGATTCCTACCAACAACACAGTAATCATATTATAGAATATTTAAAGAGTGAATTGAGGAATCATCCACTAATTTACTTTTGTATCATTTGATGCAAATGTAATTTAGTTATAAATAAAGTTAGTCATAATTTAGTTATAAAAGTAATTAGTCACGATTATTTGGAATTTTTCAAGATGGCGGCCAAAAAAAAAATGAATTTTGCACCCTCACACTTTTCTAGTGTGTCAAAAGAATTACTGCTACTTATTTAAGTACAAATTTTATTTCTAAGAACTAATATTATATTATTTACCAGCTTGAAGCACCATGTTTTGTTACTACACATAACTTTCTTTTTAAAGTTTTAATTGTTTTTCCAAATTCGTACCCAAAAGACACGTTTCTCTAGATTTTTAGTGCGAACTAAACCTGCAATCAACTAAAAAAATCCGTCCTCGTCCTTGTGTGAATAGGTACCACCTGTTTTCTGCTTGTTGCTCCTGTACTATAAATTAAACTAACAGTTATTAGAAATTTACTATAGGTAAACGGTAAAGGTATAAAAAAAATCTAAAAAAAACTTTTGCCGTAAATTTAGGGGATTATACAAATATTTTAATTCTTTAATTCGGTCCTTTTTTAGTTCGTAAAGTTTTTGACAGATGGCGCTACAAGTATTTGTAAGTCAAAGGAAAATATTTAAAAATCACATAACTTCGGTATCTTTCAATAAATGAAAATGACAACAATACATGACGAAATGTTCACCAACAATCATAATCACATTCATGTCTCCTAAGAGGATAAAAGTTGCATTTTCACCAAAAGCAGCAGGGAAAAGGGTAGGTCTTCCAGTTGCCTTAGTTTGGAAATTTTTTGAATTGAAGCTAGAAACTTTGCGAGAAAAAATTTATTAATTGATATCACTTGAGTTTGCTGCAATTTTTTTTCCATTAACTTCAATTGTTTTCCTAGTTTTTGAAAATTGTCTAGTAATAGCCCTAGAGCTGCTCAAGGGACTACTATCAATGGTCTGGGAAATATCACAGAGGATGATTCGAAGACATGCCATCACAATTTTGATCTTTTGCAGAGGAGATGGCTCCCCCCTTTAGTAACCCAACAACTTGGGTGCGAAGTATAGCACTTTGCGATTGAAGAGGTGAACGGGGCCGGGATAGCCTGGTCGGTAGGGCGCTGGGCCCATGTCCGAGAGTTCGTGGGTTCGAACCCCGCCGACCGAAAACTACCCGTGTGACTGATGCACGTTAAATCTGTCGAGTCGCAAAAATCCTCCATGTTCCCATAACAAATTAATACCTCTAGGGCAGTGTTTTCCAAACTTATGACTTTTGTGTACCCTTTCTAAATTTTTCGTAGCGCTGTGTACCACTAGTAAAAAAATGAATGTATTTTTTACTATAAAAAAATTACACAAAAGTTAAATATCACAACTGGCTGTTGACACCACTAATTATTAACTGTTAACTGCAAAAAAATGGCCAGTAAAAAAAGTACGAAATCGTAAATTTTCACGGCTAGATTTGTTTTTAAACAAAATTTTTTGAAAATTTCGTTTGTTGCAAGATACTTTGCATAAAAACGCGTACCCCTGGGGGTACGCGTACCTTTGGGAAAGACTGCTCTAGGGGTACTGGATTGGAGATCGATCGTTCTCTGATTCAGGTCAAAATTACGATCTGTGGATGAATGAATGGAGGTATGAATGGGTCAGCCCTATAAACGGGTGCAACGTAAGGTGTGGCAGAAGTCGAATTCTTGGCCATAGATAGCCCCACTGAGAAACAAGAAACACACACACTCTGCCTTAAATTTGCTCGGTTTCACCATGGCAAGTCGCATTAGAAACAACAACAAGCAGAGGTGAACGGGGAACAATAACTCGTACTCTCGGTCCCTTTGCATGCTGATCAAAGTGATTATCCACCCCTTCTCTCACCATAGCCAGTGACTGTTCAATATCAAAATTGTTCAATTGCATTTTAGTAAATAAACCAATTCAAATAGTTATAATGTAATGAACAATTTATTTTGAAGTAAAAAAGAAAACTAATTTAGACTTTTTTTCAGTTCTTGGAGCAAAAATAGCAGGAGGAGCAGCCGTATTTATTGGTGCTGCTACAGTTGCTTTGCCAACAGCTGGTTTCACAGCGGGTGGTGTTGCAGCTGGCAGCGCGGCAGCTGCCGCTCAGAGTTCGATAGGAAATGTTGCGGCAGGCAGTTTATTCGCATCACTTCAGAGTGCTGGTGTACTGGGCCTGGCAGCATCTACTAAGGCAGCTATTGGAACTGCTGGGGCTGGAATAGTTGGCTATTTCTCTAAACCTAAATAACATGACTGTATTTTTTTTACCGCAATCATTAATGCTTGTTAGGTATATATCTTTAAAGCTATTTTTCGAAAGTATTGTTGTTACTCGATATAACTCTTAATGCGAATAATATGCTATTTTTATAACTATTGTAAGTTTTGGAATGTTGTTCTTGATATTAGGTCAAGTTTAGGCTATCTTTAATTTTAAAAAAATAGTGGAAAACGTCAAAATGAAGAAAAGCCACAATTTTGTGAAAATGAAAAGCTTTTGTGATTTAAATTGTTTAATATTTTAAAGCTTTATTTCAACGCTGCCATTATCTGGGCTCATAAAAATTTGACAAAATTTAGGAATTATTTTGATATTTTTCATTTTGGGGGAAAACTCTCGTCTTTTTGGCAATTTTTAAAACAATTTATTAAATTTTAAATTAATGAAGTTATTGTCCGTTCTGAACCTTAGATAAGTATTTATTGTGAGATAATATATGTAGATTAAAATTATAGCTTTGTCTCAGGTGCAAGGCACTTAAAATGTGGCTTTTTTTTCCTTGCAAAATTCTGTTAGCTAAGTCTTCAACTATATTCTCAATATATGTTATTTACTTCTTTTCCTTTAATAAAATTATTTTATCTTTATCAATTTCATTGTCTTCGTATTGATTTAAGTCTAATATAATATTGATAAATTTCTGTGAAGCTTTATAAAATCCTAATAATTTTTAACTAAAAAAATACCAATTCAACAATTATATAAATTAAACGACCGATTCAATTCACGTCATTGAGTCCAAATGTCATGGAACTCGAACTTACCCATATAGTTTAATTTTTCGAAAAAATTAATTTTTATAAAGATTAATTTGATGTGTATTGAACGAAATTTTTTATTTCAAATTGTAAATTCCTCCTATTATAGTATTATTTTTATACTAGCCATACTGGACGAACAACTTTGTCACCTTTCATACTTATCTTGCACGACACATGAACTTCAATAGTAATTAAGCCAAATGCGCAAAACAGCTATATTTAAATAATCTAATTCTTCACCAATCCTAACACCTTATTCAGTTTTAATCAATTATATTGACCAAAAGGCCGGAATAGCTTGGACAGTAGGGCGCGGTGCCTATGTCCCAAAGTTCGTGGATTCGAACCCCGCCGGCCGAAGACTTCCCGTGTTGTAAAATGGTGACTGATGCACGTTAAATCTGTCGAGTCTCAAAGTCCTCCATGTTCCCATAACAAATCAATACCTCTGGGGGTACTGAATTGGAGATCGTTCTCTGATTCAGGTCAAAATTACGATCTGTTGATGAATGAATGGGCGTGACGTATGGGTGTGGCAAAATTCGAATTCTTGGACATAGATGGCGCCACTGGAAAACAAGAATAATCGCATCCCGCTGCCTTAACAGGTATACAAAGAGAGAGACATTGCCCGCTAGGAAGCACCTTGATTTCAATTTTAACTATTTTCACGAGGTTTTGTCAAAATTCTTTTCGTATTGAATTTTACTACTAATTTGAAATCTGTCCAGCAACCATTTCATCGCACAAACCATCGTAAGTATTTCAGCTAAAGAATATACATAGGGAAAAAAAAATTAAGTTCTAAAGCCATAATGTAAACCAGTCCCCTAAGATAGCAGCGGTCCCCGTATATAAAGAAGAAATCAACATTTAGGGGCTCAACAGCAGAAATTCTTGAAACAGGTTTGTACCCTTCTCTCCACCCAACCACTACTGGGGTTAGGGTGAAAAAAGTAAAGCTTTCTCTTTTTATTTATTGTTGGTTTGTTCTGCATTTTCACACTATTGATAAACACTGTACTATTAATTAAGATATTTCTCTCAGAATACATTTAAGTCTGCTGACACATTTTGACATAGAAAGAATAAAATGGCGGTTGGCGGGAGACAGCGTACGCAGCCATATATGTAAATTGATTGGCTGACTTTGCTTAAATCTGAGTCTGTTGCTCACCCTGTAAATCGTTTTTCTGTAATAGCGTAACTCACCGAACAATTCACCGACTTAGTCACGTACTCAAGGAGCTGGATTAATCTTTTCTACATTCTTTGATTTCAACATAGAAAAGGCAGCAGGTCAATTAAAATTATTTCCATCTAAGTTGGGAGTTTTTCTAAGTTTCCATCTAACTAATGTATAAATTTCCATCTAAGATAGAAAATTCTCTCCATTGCGTGCTATAATAATTCCTTGCACATTTCTCGAGCCCGTATAATATCTGTACTATTGTTTGAAAAACGCAAGCCTCGTCACCAATAATTGGTGTGGCCTAACTACCACTACAATCATTAAATATCAATTCACTAGTATTTAAGACATGTAAATTCGATTACATCTTGAGGTATTTTTTGATAGATGAAGGTTGAAATGATAGAGAGATCCTTTCCTCACATTGGTGACCCGGACGTGATATGAACTCGCCTACATAGAAAATATCGCCTAATGGTTCACATTGAATAGCTATTTGTGACTGCATCATCGGTTTCCTCGCACTCTCGCTTCTCAGTCTCATTTACATATAACGGAATCCTGCACACACTCCACTGCTAATAGCAACACCGGAAAGACCACGCACACAACGATAAACTTAATACAGCTGTCACGTCAAAACTCGGTGAACTTAATACAGCTCTCCCCTCAAGCACTCAAAATCCTGTGAACTTAATACATCTCTCCCGGTCTTTCGCCAGAGCTGCAACTAGTGGTATCCGTTCATCGAATTCTATTCCTGATAAAATTCTGGTGGTGGAGTATAGTGGCGTAACTACCACTGCGATTATTAAACATCAATTCACTAATATATAAGATTTGCTTATTCGATTCAATCTGGAGGCACCTTTTGATAGATGAAGAAGAGCATAGTCGTTAATACACTAACCACAATTGGTACGATACTAAAGCCCTCTTCATGTTTAAAATATTCCATCATTTCATAAAGGATCAAAAATAAAAAAATTTATAATAATTACTATGTACCTAAGTTTTAATTTTATAGAAATGCAAAATTATTAAAAATAAATCTTTAATGTATAACTAACTATTCAACACTACTTGAATAATTACTTAAGACAACCTTGCATAATTTATAATAACTATAGTGTTGCCAATGGATGGAGAATTATATATATACTAATGGGCTGCACCCCCTGCTCGCTAACGCTCGCGAACCCCCGAAAATTGTTACTCAAACCAAGTTCGCTTCGCTCGCTACTAGCTTGGGCGCATTGCAAATGTACAAAATTCTAAGAATTTAAAACAATCATTCAAATCCATATAACAACTTTTTTTTAAAAAAAAATTACCTCTTTTTAGTAAATAATAAGTCATTAAAATAAATTTGAATTCAAATAAACGACATGTAATTCGTTAAACCTATTAGAAATGTGCTACAATCTTAAGTATAAAATCTGTGTATGAAATTTTAAGATAAAATTTCTATAACTGATATCTCTTTAAAAAGGTTAAAATTTTGGCTATAATTAAGTCTATTAAAAATTGAAATAAGTGAATTGCAATGGAAAAACCTGCATAAGCAAATAAATTCTAGTAAAACAAATAAATTCGTAATATAAATCAAAAATCGTCAAATAAATTCGCGAAAAAAAGAGCTTTCGACAAAATACTAAAATAGAGATCGATCGACAAAGACTACTTCACTCACTTCTGCCTAGCTTATGCTCTCTCTGGTTATTTCAGTTTCCGTTTTTAAAAGCGCTATATGTTGAGTCATCTCAGCTAGATTTGGCATGTGACATTTTTAGCGGCAATCATGGGTCGATTTTCCAGCGTTGCCATTCGGGGAGTTGTAATGAGGCTTTTTTTTTGTCGCCGTGTAAGAGAAATATATATATATATATACACTACTAGTCATTAAAATATATTGTGGGGAGTGTAGTTATCGACAGTGTCAACCTTTATCTATGAAAAGAAACCCCACCCTAGAATCGAGTTAACATGTCTTATATACTAGGGAGTTGGAATTATATTTTTGTAGTGGTAGATAAACTACAGTACTCCAACACCAGAATTTTATCAGTGATAGAATTCGCTGAATGGATACCACTAGCTGATATATTGCCGTTTTGTGAGAAGACGAGAGAGTTGTATTAAGATCACGGTCCTGGTCACTCCTATGCGGCATTCAGCAGCCGAGTGTGCACGTTGTGTGTGATCGAGACAGAGAAGCAATGGCGTGAGGAGGACAATATCACAAGTTTGAAGTCAACTGTTAAATGTGAACCATCCATCGAAGTAGATGTGTTCAAATCGAAGTGGGAGTTTCTGCCACGGTGAATATGTTCACATCTCGTAAAGGTCACCAATGTGGGGAAAGTTATCGACAATGTCAACCTTCATCTACGAAAAGGTACCCCACCATAGAATCGAGTTAACATGTTTTATATACTAGGGAGTTGGAATTGTACTTTTGTAGTGGTAGATACACTACAAATACATAATAAATATGCATTTAAGAGAAATAAATAAATGTATATACATGTAAGTACACTACTGACTTTATTAAAATTGCTACACCAGGAACGAATGCAAGTAACAGAACGATATTTATTGGGCACATGCATTATAGTTGAAAGAACAAGTGATTAAATTTTCAGGAATTTTGGATGTATAGATCCTGAGAAACCAGTACTCGGAGCAGCATCCCTTGGCAGCAATTACAGCAGTTATTCTCCTGGGCATCGAGTCGAACAGAGATTGGACAGCATGGACGGGTGCAGCATACCATGCAGCTTCAACATTATGCCACAATTCATCGGCCGTAGTGACTGACGATAGGTGGCGTGTCCGTCATTCGACAACCATTGACCAGACGTTTTCAATTGGTGAGATATCAGGAAAACGTGCTGACCAGGGCAACAGGCGAACATGTTCTGAGTCAAGAAAGGTCAGGACAGTGCAGTCAGCATGAGGTCGTGCATTGTTCTGCTGAAACGTAGCGCTATGGAGGCCTCGAAGATAAGGCAGAGCAACTGGCCCTAACACATCAGA